TATTCATTCTTTCTACCTGCCCTGAGCTTTGGGTGTGGTAGGCACAATAATTTCCAATTTATTTGTAAGCGTTTGGCTAGCATTTTAGAGATCTGGGCTATGAAAGCCGGGCCATTATCTGACTCCAGACCAATAGGGATGCCAAATCGGGAAACCAATTCATTGAGTAATTTTTAGCCATTATCTGAGCTGACTCTGTTCTAGTGGGGAAAGCCTCTACCCATCCGGAGAAGGTGTCCACTAGTACAAGGAGGTAATGGTAGCCATAGAATCCATGTTTTATCTCAGTGAAGTCCAGTTCCCATATTTCTCCAGGCATCTTCCCGCATAATCTCTGTCCTGAAAAATTAAACTTGGGAGATGGGTTAGTCTGAGCACAGGCTTTGCATCGGTCTACTAGGCTTTTTACGATTTTATTAAGGTTTGGAATAAAATAGTCCCTTTGGGCTAGTTCAGACAACTCGGTTGCCCCTAGACGTGCGGAGCTGTGGCCTTGCTGGAGCCAGGTCCGTCCTATAGCTTCTGGTATGAAGATGCGTCCATCCTCGAGGTGATACCAATGCTGGTCATCTCTTTTTGCCCTCGAGGTTTTTATCAGGCGTAGCTCTTCTTTGGTCTAAGACGGTTCCGAGGGGAGAAAGCGTGGAGGCAGCAGAGGCAAAATCTTAATTGGGAGTACACCGCCTTCGGCTGCAGCCTTTGCCGTCAGATCGGCGAAGACATTTCCCTTGGCTTGGGGTGAGTCTACTTTTTGGTGGCCTTTGCAATGTATAATGGCCACCTTCTTTGGGAGCCATAAGGCTTCTAGCGGGGCCAAAGTTTCTTTTTTATTTTTGATTTCTTTTCCCCCAGATGTTAATAGTCCCCTTCCTTTATATAGAGCTCCATGAACATGGGTGGTGGCGAAGGCATACCTGCTATCAGTGAAAAAGTTCACCGTTTTTCCCTTTGCCCATCTGAGGGCCTGGGCTAGAGTTATCAGCTCTGCTCTTTGGGCAGAAGTGTCATGCTCAAGGGCTCGGGCCCAGATAACCTGGTCCTGAGTCACTACAGCTGCACCTGCATATCTGACTCCATTTTTGACAAAACTGCTGCCATCAGTGAACAGCTCAAAGTCTGCCTTAGGCAGGGGCTGATCCCTTAAGTCTTCCCTTAGCCCCAAAAGGGTACTTACGGTTTCCAAGCAGTCATGGAGCGAGTCCCAAACTCACTATCAGGTAACAACGTGGCTGGGTTTAAGGCTTCTGTCTTTAAGGTGATTCGTGGAGGGTCTAGCAGTGACACCTGGTATTGGATGATTCCTACCTTGGAAATCCACCAGTCCGGCCGGGAGTGCAACAAGGAAGCCACCGCATGAGGCCCTATAATTTGGAGGTCTTGCCCAAGTGTCAACTTGGAGGCCTCCTTAACAAGCACAGCTGTCGTGGCAACTGCCCTAAGGCAGCTGGGCCATCCCGTAGCGACTGAATCTTGTCGTTGGATAAATAGGCCATGGATCACTTCCAAGGGCCCAAAGTTTGAGTGAGGACTCCCTTTGCAATTCCCCGTACCTCATGTACAAACAATTGGAAAGGCTTGGTAATGTCTGGTAAGGCTAGGGCTGGGGCCTGGGTAAGTGAAGTCTTGATTTGTTCAAAAGCTTTATTTTCTTCTTCTCCCCAGACCAGCTCAGTTCCTTCTCCCCCCCCCCCCCCCCGCCCCGGCCCCAGTAGCAGAATACAGGGGTTTTGCCATTTCAGTGAAACCAGGTATCCAGAGGCGGCAATACACAGAGGCCCCTAGGAACCCCCTGATCTGCCTTTTAGTTTTAGGTTTAGGGATGTTTAGCATAGCTTGGATTCTTTCCGGCCCCAGGGATCACTTACCTTCACGCAGTTGGTAGCCCAAGTATATTACAGAGCCCAAGCAAATCTGCACCTTCTTTGCAGAGACTTTATATCCCAGGACGTCTAATTCTCTTAGCAGGTCCTCTGTAGACGTTTTGCAGCTCTCTAAGGAGTCAGCGGCTAGGAGCAAGTCATCTACATATTGTAACAGCATAACATCTGGGTGGCTCTCCTGGTAGGGGATCAAATCCCTTCCAAGAGCCTCATCAAAAGAATAGGGGAGTTTTTAAACCCTTGGGGCAGTCGAGTCCAGGTTAACTGTCCGTTGTAGGTCCCATCTGGGTCTGTCCATTCAAAGGCAGAAATAGGCTGACTGAGCTTTGCAATCGGCAAAACAAAGAATGCATCTTTTAAGTCCAGGATGGAGTAAAGGAGGTAATTTGGTGAGAGTTCACTCAGGAGAGTATAGAGGTTGGGGACTGTAGGATGAATTGTCTCAACCCTTTTTGTTAACTTCTCTGAGGTCTTGTACCGGACTATACTCTGAAGTCCCAGATTTTGGGACAGGAAGCAAGGGGAGTATTCCAGAGGGAATGGCATGGCACTAGGATCCCAGCTTCTCGCAAGCGGTTGATGTGTTTGGCAATTCCCTCCCTCGCTTGCTGGCTGATGGGATATTGCCTCACCCGGATTGGGGTGGCTGTGGCAGCTAGCTAGATCACTAGTGGCACTTGTTGAATGGCTAGCCCAGGGGGCTTAGTTTCAGCCCAAACTGTAGGAATTGTCTCTTTCCATTTTTCTATTAATGGAGAGGATTTCCACTCTGGTTTTTCCTAGTAGATATTCCTCTGATATCAGACAGGTAACTAAAATGGCAGGTGGCTGTAGGTTTAAATCTATAGTATCCCTGGTAAAGGAAATTTGGGCCTTAAGCTTGTGCAGTAGATCTCTCCCCAGAAGGGAAAATGGGCAATCAGGTATAAGCACAAAAGAATAACAGTTCTTGAGCTAGGTCAGTGATTCGGGCAAGGGTCTGTGGGTAGCCTTGTGTCTGTCCTGTGACTCTCTGTATGTATACTTTTTCTTTAATCACAGGTCCTAAGGGTTCTTTAAGAATGGAATACATAGCCCCAGTGTCAACCAGGAATCTGGTTTCTTTCCTTTCTATGCTGAGGGTAACCGCAGGCTCCCGGGGATCCAGGGAAAGAGGGGAGCTGTGGTGACGTCATTGTTCCTGGGCGACCAGGATGGGTGGTTATGAGGTTTTGGCTTTTTCTTGGGGCATTCGTTCTTTCAGTGTCCCTCTTCCTTGCAATAAGCACATTGATTTTTTCCTAAAGTTGAGCGGGGTCTCTTTTGTTGGGTTTGAGGCTTCCCCAATCCTTTAGAGTGGGTGGGGGGCTTCCCCCCCATGCTGCCATGAATACCTTCCCTATTTCCTTCCCCTGCATAATGGCTGGGCTGTCTCTACTCTGGAAAACTCGCTGAGCTATTTCTACCAGTTCAGAGATTACCTTTCCTTCAAATCCCTCTAATTTCTGAAGCTTTTTATGGATGTCTGGGGCCAACTGAGAAACGAAAGTCCTATTAATGGTTTTCGGTACTCTATTGCTTCGGGGTCAATAGGAGAATATAAGCAATAAGCCTGGTAAAGCCTTTCTAGGAAGGCTGCAGGTGACTCATTCGGTCCTTGGACCATGTCATAAATCTTTGTCAGATTGGTGGGTTTTTGTGCCGCTGCACAAAGCCTTTGTAACAGAATCTAGCGATAGTGGAGTAGATGCTCCCCACCGTTATCCATGTTAGGGTCCCACTGGGGTGGCGCGGAAGGGAAAACGTGCTCAATTCTGTGAAGGTCTGTGGTGGGCATTCCATCTGGGCCAAGGACTGCTCCCGTTGCTTCCCGGAGCACTCGGGCCCTTTCCTTGGAAGTCAGGAAGACCTGCAAGAGTTGGTGACAGTCTTCCCAAGTAGATAAGTGAATGGTGAAAATAGAGCTCAATAGGTCAATTAGGCCCTGGGGGTTTTCAGAGAAAGGGGGATTTGGGGTCTTCCAGTTATAAAGATCAGTGGTAGAAAAAGGGGTACAGACTAGAGTAGACCTAGGTTGATGCCCATCTGGGACAGGAATTGGAGCAGTCTGCCTGAGGGGGAGAATGGGGGCTGGGAGTTCGGGTGATTGGGGTCCAGTCCCGTATAATGTCCCTTCTCTGGTGTGTGGAGGGCTAGCCATTTCCTCTTGGGCACTGGTAGCAGTGGGAGGATGGCCGTTGCTCCCCGGGAATGAAGTCCCAAGGTCTGAGACGAGGCGGGTCACTCCCACCGGTTGGCATGAGGCTGTCGTCTAGCTTTCAGTTTTGCTTCCACGGAGTTGGAAGACTGTTTCTAGGGGCCCTCTGTTTGTCTGTTTCTGTGTTTCTCTGTTTTGTTCTGTGGACTTACTGGACAGACGTTATGGGACAGACTCAGACTACTCCTCTAAGTATTATGATTGATCACTTGAAGGATGTCAAGGGAAGAGCTAACAACCTCAGTGTGGAAGTCCGAAAGGGTCGGTGGCAGGTTTTTTGTTCTAGCGAGTGGCCAGCTTTCAATGTCAGATGGCCACCAGAGGGGACCTTCGACCTCCCTACCATCCGCCGAGTCAGGGGTATCATCTCTCGGCCTAAGACAGGCCATCCTGATCAGCTTCCTTACATTATCACTTGGCAGGACCTTGTAGAAGACCCACCCTCTTGGCTTAAGCCCTTCCTAGCCCCACACCCGCCGGAGCCAAAACCCATTCTTGCTTTGCAGGGGACAGAGAAGACGAAAAAGAAAAGTCTTCAGCCTTCCTGTCCTTCAGCCTTATACCCTGTCCTACAAGGGGGGGCTGAAGAAGAATTAATTTTTCCTCCCCTGTATAACCCCCCCCCAGGTATAACCCCCCTAGGATGCCGGAAGAACACCATCCTCCCCCTCTGGGGGAGGCAGACGCTGTTCCAAGAGCGGGAGGCAGAAATGCTCCAGTGGGAAACCCGCCCTTTACCAGACAAAGGGCTCAGAGGGAGAAATCCGCCTCTGCCACCGACTCCACTGTTCTGCCCCTGCGAGCCACCGGACCCCCAGATGCGGAGGGGAATCAGCCCCATCACTATTGGCCTTTCGCCACTAGTGACCTCTACAATTGGAAAGCCCAGAATCCTAAGTTTTCCGAGAAACTGGCAGGGCTTATTGATTTATTAGACTCTGTTCTTTTTACCCATCAGCCCACGTGGGACGATTGCCAGCAGCTTTGGCAGGTCCTGTTCATGACTGAGTAAAGAGAAAGAATCCTCAATGAGGCCTGAAAACTAGTTCTGGGCACAGACGGGAATCCCACCACCAACCAGGCTCAGATAGATGCCTCCTTCCCCTTAACTCAGCCCAAGTGTGATTTCAACACGGCAGAAGGTAAGGAGAGGCTCTGGGTCTACTGCCAGACCCTGGGGGGGGGGGGGTGTCTCTGAATGGCTGCTAGAAAGCCAACCAATTTGGCCAAGATAGGAAATGTACAACAGGAAAAAGATGAATCTCCGGCTGCCTGTTTAGAACGGATCATGGAGGCATTCCATACTTATACCCCCATGGATCCAGAGGCTCCGGAAAGCAAGGCAGCTGTTATCATGGCCTTTGTAAACCAATCAGCCATAGACATTAGAAAAAATTAGAGAAAAAAGACTAGGAGAAAAAACTCTGCAGGACTTACTAGTAGTAGCCGAAAAGGTATATAATAACCGGGAGCCTCCTGAGGATAAGCAGGCTCGCGCCATGGCGGCTGCCAGCAGTAAGCAGACTCGAGACCTGGCCAGAATACTACTAGCTACTACTGCTGACTCCCCCGAGGAATGAGACCGCCGTCTCCAGTCTCCACCAAGGGGAGGAAGCAGAGGCTGCAGAAAGATCATTGTGCATACTGCAAGGAGATAGGGTATTCGGCCTGAGATTGTCCGAAAAAGGCCGGTGGGAAGGGAAGCAAGACTGATCGAGTAAAAGTCTTAGAACTAGATGAACTGAGTGATTAGGGGAGTCGGGGTTCAGACCCTCTCCCCGAACCCAGGGTAACTCAAAGTGGAGGGGACCCCTGTTGACTTCCTTGTCGACACCGGAGCACAACATTCGGTCCTCCGCACCCCACAAGGAAAACTAGCCAGCAAGAAGTCCTGGGTACAAGGGGCAACTGGTATGAGCCAGTATTCGTGGACTACCTGCAGAATGGTACATTTGGGGACAGGTAGGGTATCCCACTCCTTTATGGTCATACCGGAATGCCCCTACCCGCTGTTAGGACAAGACTTACTGACCAAGATTGGAGCTCAGATAACTTTCAGACAAGGGGGGCCTCAGGTCACTGATGGCAAGGGCCACCCCATCAGGTCCTGACCATGAAACTAGAGGATGAATACGGCCTGCACCAGGAGGCACTCCCGAGAGAGGATAATATAGACAGGTGGCTACAAGAATTCCCCCCGGGGTGGGGACCGCCCCGGGGGGGGGCGGGCGTAGGACTAGTCGCTCACAGGACCCTGGTCCTGGTAGAGCTCAAACCAGGAGAAGGTCCGGTAAGGATCAAACAATACCCCATGTCTCAGGAGGTCTGGAAGGGGATCCAGCCACACATCCGGAGACTACAAAGTCTAGGGGTACTAGTTCCTTGCCAATCTGCTTGGAACACCCCCCTACTGCCGGTCAAAAAGCCTCACACAAATGACTATCAACCGGTACAAGATCTCTGGCAAGTAAAGAAGAGGGCCACGGACATAAACCCAACTGATCCCAACCCATATACTCTCTTGAGCTCCTTGGTGCCCTCCAGGGTCTGGTATACTGTGCTAGATTTAAAGGACGCCTTCTTCAGTCTGCCGTTGGCACCCCAGAGCCAACCCTTGTTCGCCTTCGAGTGGCATGATCTAGAGGAGGGCTACAGCGGGCAATTCACCCGGACATGGCTGCCTCAGGGGTTCAAAAATTCACCCACCATCTTCTACAAGGCACTACACGAGGACCTGGGTGAGTACAGAAAGGAGCTCCCTGGCCTCACCCTCCTACAGTACGTAGATGACTTCCTGATTGCTGCCGACACAGCCAAGGACTGCGAGCGAGGGACCCAGGACCTGCTGGCTACACTGGGGGCCTTAGGGTACTGGGCATCCGCGAAAAAGGCTCAGATATGCAGGGAGAGGGTAAGTTACCTGGGATACATCCTGGAGGGTGGACAGCGGCGGTTATCAGATGCCAGAAAAGAAACTGTCCTGAAGATCCCTGTTCCCACCTCCCAAAGGGAAGTAAGGGAATTCCTAGGATCGGCCGGCTACTGCTGCCTCTGGATTCCGGGTTTTGCTGAGATCACCAGGCCCCTATATGAAGCTACCAAAGAGGGGAAAACATTTAAATGGACTGAAAAAGAAGAAATTGCCTTTAATCAGTTAAACAAGGCCCTCCTAGGTGCCCCAGCCCTGGGCCTACCAGACATTATGAAGCCCTTCCACCTCTTTGTAGATGAACACAAGGGAATAGCAAAAGGGGTTCTAACTCGAGCTTTAGGCCCCTGGAACCGCCCGGTGGCTTACCTGTCCAAGAAGCTAGACCCAGTGGCTGCCGGCTGGCTGCCATACCTAAGAATTATTGTGGCGACAGCACTCCTAGTCAAGGACACAAACTGACCCTAGGACGGGAGATCTGGATCACGACCCCACACGCCATTGAAGGGGTCCTCGAACAGCCTCCTGATAGATGGATGAGCAACACACCATTACAGAGCCTCCTACTCAACCCTCCACGGGTGCGGTTCCACCCTAGTGCAGCCCTCAATCCTGCAACACTGCTGCCCGACCCTGACCTAGGTGCTCCACTACATGACTGTGCGGGGATCCTGGAGCAAGCACATGGATTCCGGACGGACCTGACCGACCGGCCCCTCCCCGATGCTGAGGCTACTTGGTTCACTGATGGCAGCAGACGGACACAGGTATGCGGGTGCAGCGGTGGTCACTGAAACAGACACCGTATGGGTGGAGGCTCTACCCTCCAGAACGTCAGCCCAGCGAGCAGAGCTCATCGCCCTCACCAAGGCGCTGAAGCTGGGAGCTGGAAAACGGCTTAACATCTACACAGCCATTATGCGTTTGCCACGGCTCCTATTCATGGGGCAATTTATCAGGAGAGGGGGTTAATGATGGCAGAAGGACGGACTATAAAAAATAAGCAGGAGATACTTGACCTGCTTACAGCCTTATGGCTTCCTGCCAAGCTGGCCATTATCCGCTACCAAGGGCACCAGAAAACTGATAACGTGGTAGCTAGAGGTAATCGAAAGGCTGACCAGGCAGCCAAGGCAGTAGCCCTTACATCAGTTCCCACCATGACCATACAACTACCGGACCCGGGAGACCCAGTTTTACCAGCCCAGCCCAAATACTCCCAGGAGGATTTAGAGTGGATCAAGAAACTCCCCATGGCCCAGAAAATAAAGGGATGGTGGTATACACCTAACAAGGAGCTTGTGCTACCAGACCAGCTCGGAGTCTCAGTATTAGAGCACATGCATTGGTCTACTCACATGGGGGCCAGAAAATTAAAAGACTTAATCCGACATGCCAGAATCAAGATTCACCAACAGGACACCAAAATAGAGCAAGGTGTATCTGCCTGCAAGACCTGCCAACTCACCAATGTGAGAGCCACATCAAATAAAAAAGGAACCAGGCTCAGAGGCACCAGACCGGGAGCCCAATGGGAGGTTGACTTCACTGAAGTTAAACCAGGAAAGTATGGTTATAAATATCTTTTAGTATTTATAGACACCTTCTCTGGCTGGGTGGAGGCATACCCAACCAAGCATGAAATGGCTCAGACGGTGGCTAAGAAGCTACTAGAAGACATCTTACCCAGGTATGGTTTTCCTGCCCTGGTAGGATCAGACAATGGACCAGCTTTTATCTCGCAGGTAACACAGGCAGTAGCCAAGGCGGTGGGGGCAAACTGGAAATTACCTTGTGCTTATAGGCCCCAGAGCTCAGGACAGGTAGAAAGAATGAATAGAGCCCTAAAAGAGACCCTTACCAAATTAACCATGGAGACTGGTGGGGACTGGGTGACTCTCCTACCGTACGCCTTTTACCGGGTTAGAAACACTCCTTACACCCTGGGTTTTGCTCCCTATGAGGTCATGTTTGGCAGGCCACCCCCTATTATTCCCAACCTTTGAGCTGAACTTCTTGCTGAGTTTAAGGATCAAGAACTTTTTCTTTCCTTGAGAGGGCTCCAGAAGGTGCACGAGGACATTTGGCTGCACCTCTGTGCCATCTATGAGGCCGGCTCAACCCCGACACATCACCAGTACAGGCCGGGAGACTGGGTCTACGTCAAGAGGCACCGCCGAGAGACCCTCGAGCCTGCTGGAAGGGACCCTACAACGTGGCGCTGACAACCCCCACCACTCTCAAAGTAGACGGCAGCGCGACCGGGGTCTATCACACCCACGTTCAGCCAGTGGACCCCTCCTCGATCTGGAAGGACTTCGTCACACAATGGGCCATCAATCGGGACCAACACAACCCGCTCAAGCTACAGCGCATTCAACCCACCTGATATTGGTAACTCTGTTAACTCTGCTTGTCATTGCTCATGCTGCCAGGAGTCCCCACACCCCCCAAAACATTACCTAGCAGATCATAGACACCAGCTCAGGGACAATACTTAATCAGACATCCCAGACCCACCCTAGAGACACATGGTTCCCAGAATTACGAGTAGACTTAGAAAGCCTGTTTCCCCCTTATACCGGCCACCCCAGGGTTGATACCACAGGGTTCAGGCGATAAGACTTTCACTTCTATGTCTGTCCTGGTGGAAAAGACCGTGGGGACACTTGCGGGGATGCGGCAGACTACTTCTGCGCCTCTTGGTCATGTGTCACCACTGGACACATCTGGTGGACCCCACCACGCACCGGAGATCTCATCGTGGTAACGCAGCCTGGTGGCCCCCGACCACCGTATATCTTGGGCCATGGTAATCCTGTGTCAATATCTTTCACAGAACAAGGAAAAAAGACAACAGGGAGGGAAGCTGGAAAAACCTGGGGGTCAGGCTTTATGACAAGGTCAGACTTGGGACTCGAGATAAAGGAATGTTATTTACCCTCCGAATGCAAGGAACCCCCCCTTGCCCAGAAGTCCCCCACAGGGGTAGGACCCAACCAAGTACTAGTTCCCCGACCTGTCCCCGCCCGGACGGCAATGCCCAGAAACACCCAGCCTCCGGCTACACGGCCCTCCACATCCCCTGTCCCTACCGGAGCGTCACCCACATCTTCTGCCCCAGGTCACAAGTTACTCTCTGATACAGACCCCCTATGGAGCTCGGTTGTCAGAGCATACCAGGTACTAAACACTTCTAGGCCCAACCTGACCAAGTCCTGTTGGCTCTGTCTAGATGTGTGGCCCCCATATTACGAAGGTATTGCCATTAAAGGCAATTATACAACAGCCTCCAACTCTAAGTCCTGCAGATGGCAGCAGACTACTGCAAGACTAACCCTCCAGGCAGTAACAGGACAGGGCACTTGCATAGGCCACGTGCCCCCCGGGCAGTCACATCTCTGTAGTGAAACCCTAACAGTCCCCAGGGAGACAGTGTATCTACTTCCCCCCAAAAATGCATGGTGGGCCTGTTCCAGAGGCCTCGCTCCCTGCGTCCACTCCCAAGTCCTTAACTCCTCGAAGGAAGGCTTCTGAATACTCGTGCAGTTGATCCTCAAGCTAGTGTACCATTTGGGGGGGAAATACTTAACAGGTTAGGCTCTACTAACCCCCGAAGTAAAAGAGAGCCTATTAGAACCCTAACTCTGGCTGCGCTCTTGGGACTGGGATTAGCGGGCACAGGGACTGGAATATCCTCACTCGTCATCCAGGACAAAAACTCCGGAACCCTAAGGGCAGCCATTGACTTAGACATAGAAAGAATTGAGAAATCAATTTCTCATTTACAGGAATCCCTTAATTCCTTATCAGAAGTAGTACTCCAAAACAGAAGAGGATTAGACTTATTATTCATGCAACAAGGAGGACTATGTGCAGCCCTAGGGGAAGAATGTTGCTTCTATGTTGATCACTCGGGGGTCGTAAAAGAATCTATGGCCCTCATAAGAGAAGGGCTGCAAAAACAAAAGTTAGAGAACAATCTCAGTCCTGGTACGAGTCTTTCTTCAACTGGTCTCCCTGGTTAACTACCCTCATCTCGGCCCTTGCCAGATCCCTCGCCATCCTGCTCCTACTAGTAACCCTCCGACCCTGTATCATCAACAGGCTGGTCCAGTTTGTCAGGGACCTCGTGGGGGCCATCCAACTAATGGTCCTCCGTGCTCAGTACAAGCCCCTAGTAACAGAAGACGACAAAATAGAAATGCAGCCGGTCCCATGATTGGGTCCGTAAGCTACATGACAAGGGGGGAATGAAAGAGCGGATTTAGGCCGGCGGACTCCATTTTGTTCTGTGTCCTCCATCTTGAGTGACTATGTCCCCGACATGGCCCTCTTTTCCAGGAAAACCGCAGAAAGAAATTCCCTCTCACCTGCTAAAACCCCCTCCCCTTGAGTAACTTCCAGCTTACCCGTTCAAACTTCCCATTCAAACCACACCCAGCAACCTGCGCAACAGGACTCTGATCCTTCCTCAGCCAATTGGCTAAGGCCACGACCATCACCCCACCAACTGCCCCTAGACCCCTATAAAACCTTTGTGCTTTTGAAACTCGCTCTCTCTCTCCGGCATCTCACCGCTGCATCGGTGCAGGTAGGAGATTGAACTTGAGCTAGCTCGAATAAAGGCTCCTTGCTTTTTCATCGGACTCGGCTCCCTGGTGGTTTTTGGGGATCGTGAATTCTGGGCGCGTGAGTTTGGGAGCACAAACTCACCTTTAGAATAAAACTGACTCGCCAACATTTCTCAAGACAAACCTCTCTTGCAAATAAAGGTCAGAGAGAAACTTCTCTTAGCATTGATTGATACAGGGGCTGAGGTAACTGTTTTGGACTTCTCACTGGGCTACTGCCCCTACAGCACCCTAGTTGGAGTTGGAGGCACCCAGGCTTCCTGACAGTCTCACCTTATGCAAATGTTTAGGGCCTGATGATCAAATAGCCTACATACAGCCCTATGTGATGAATATCCCTATCAATTTACGGGGAAGAGACTTGTTGAGTGAATGGAATATTCAGCTTAAAACAAGTTTTTTCCTAGCCACTGCTCAAATTTAGCCCCTTCCATTAAAATGGGAAACTAACCCGTATGGGTTGAGCAGTGGCCAATAAAAGGGGACCGGTTGATTCATCTCCAACAATTAGTAGATGAACAGTTAAATAATGGGCACATAGAGCCTAGGAGTAGCCCTTGGAATACTCCTGTCTTTTGTGTTCCTAAAAAAAATGGCAAATGGCGACTTCTTCATGATCTCAGAGCTACTAATGCAGTAATTGAGCCTTTTGGCCCCTTGTAGCTAGGAAACCCCTTTCCCTCAACATTGTCTCAAAATTGGCCAATTCTTGATTTCAAACATTGCTTTTTCACAATCCCCTCAGCTAAAGAAGACAGAAATTTGCCTTTACCATTCCTGTTCTTAATCACTGCAGGCCAACACCCTGTTACCATTGGAAAGTCCTTCCCCAAGGGATGCTTAATAGCCCAACTATGTGCCAGTTTTATGTCAATAAAGCATTAGAGCCGATTAGACGTGGTTTCCTTCTTTGATCATTTATCAGTATACAGAGGATATCCTTTTTTGTCCCCAGCATCAACAACCTTTAGATGAGCTCTTTGCTGTTCTCCCCAACCTATTACACCAACAGGATTTAAAAATAGCCCCTGAAAAATACAAAGGTCGGCTCCTTTTTCTTACTTGGGGCTGCAAATGTTTAATACCCAAATTCGTCCCCTCATTCAGACCATTCCTAATGATTCGTACTCTTAATGATGTACAAAAATTTGGGGGCACCATTACCTGAGTTCGTCCTCCTGAGCATTACTAACGCCCATCTGAACAACCTCCTAACACTGCTTTCTGGTGATTCTAACTTAACATCACCACGCCAGCTCACCCCAGCAGCAAAGAAGGAGCTGGATGATATTCAGTCCATTCTCACCTCTCGTAGTTATGATAGGCAAGATCTCAACCTTCCTCTGCAGCTATAATAGTCTTAATACGAAGGATTTTTCTACCACACTAATTGGGCAAGCCGCTATTAAAGTTCTAAAAATAGAATGGCTCTTCACCCCCCATTAGTCTTAGACATACTCTCACCCCCCTCGTATTCAACATAGCACAGTTAATCCAAAAGGGACGTCGGAGATTCTGGGAATTGTTAGGTCAGGACCCTGCAAACATCACTTGCTACCTCACAGCACTTTCTTCGACAAGGTCATCTCTTATTTGCTAGAGCTGCACCTGGCTCTCGCCTACTATGTGGGCAATATATTTTATGGGCTCCTCTCTGACCCTTGTTTTAAGATTCACCAAGAGAGTAACATTGTTCCCGAGGGAGTCGTGCTACAACAACCTATTAAGAATGCCCTCATGGTGTTACAGATGTCTCAGGGAAAACTCACAAGGCTTCTTGCCTTTGGAGAGTTGGGGAAAACTGGGAACATATTTCTTATACTGGACCCAGCTTTCCACAGCATTTAGAATTACGAGCCATGTTATTAGCAATAGAAACTTTCCCCCACCCTTTAAACATTGTTTCTGACTCTCAATATACAGTGCATTTAATGGAAAATTTTCCTTTTCATATTCTTCACCTCCCCTCAGACCCCGCCTTTGCTATACTTCTCCAAAGTATTCAATTAGCCCTAATATCCCGCACCTCCCCGCTTTTTTTCCATTCACATTCATTCCCTTATCTCTTCCTGAGCCCATTGTTGAAGGCAGTGCCTTAGTTGACAACATTGTTTCTCAAGAATCTTAACCTCTTTATGAGAGCCTCCCATAAGCTTTACCATCAAAACTGGCTACTCTAAGCGAACAATTGAACCTTACTGTGAATGAGGCCAAACAAATCATTCACTCCTGCTCAGACTGTCAATTCCTTCCCAGCAGCAACAAGCTGCAAGCCTGCAAGACTGATGTTACGGTTTACCCTGCATTTGGTAAACCTAAGTATATCCATGCATTTATAGATACTTAACTTGGGTTTTATTTTTGTCTCAGCTCATACAAAAGAAAACACCAAAGCGGTATTCAATATCTGCATGCTATTGCAGCCTGGGGCTTCTGCCGCACAATTAACACAGATAATGGCCCAGCCTACGTCTCTTCCTGATTTCGTGACTTCTGTGCCTTATGGAATATCCAACATATTACGGGCATTCCTTCTAACCCACAAGACCAAGCTATTTACAGAACAAGCACATAGCACACTAAAAAACAGGTTAAAAAAAACAAAAAAAACCAAGGGCAACATACCCGTGGCTGTCTACATTACAATCTCAATTTCTTGACCACGTTATGATTAGTCTTGGTTTTTTATAAAATTTTTTTAATGTTTATTTATTTTTAAGACAGAGAGAGACAGAGCATGAACGTGGGAGTGTTAGAGAAAGGGAGACACAGAATCCGAAGCAGGCTCCAGGCTCTGAGCTGTCAGCAGAGAGCCCGACGCGGGGCTTGAACTCAGACTGCGAGATCATGACCCAAACCAAAGTCGGATGCTCAACCGACTGAGCCACCCAGGCGCCCCTACTCTTGATTTTTTAAATCTTGACCCTCAAGGACTTACTGCAGCTGAACAGCATTTGTCAAAAACAGATAAGCCCTTTCACCCTCTGGTGCTGTACAAAACCCCCAAAGGGGGGCCCATATGGTCTTGGCCCACTAAATTTCTCACCTGGGGTAGAGAATATGCTTGTGTTCTTTCAGATTCTGAACTTTTTCAAGATGGAAGAAGCCTCTTCATGGACTCCTCATCCAGAAGCCACTCTACAAACGCCAAGTCCTTGCCCCTGATATAACATAAGGAAGCCTTAAACGCCTGTCTAACCAGGCTGGCATCCTCTTACGACACAATGATATTGCATATACTTCTAATTCACAGCTGATGGCCATGATTTCTGTCATTAACCAAAATTCGATCTGTGTAACCCTGACTCTACTCCTTGCCCTCATTTGTTCAGGCCAAGCTCAATATTCATATTGGGCTCATCTCCGTAACCCGCCTATATTTGATAACTTAACACTCCTAGACCGGGATATTTCTATTAGCAATAATGACACTGAGTTCATGGGAGAAGCCAATTTTAATCTGCCCTTCCAAACGAAACAAGGGCATTGGCTTTATATGCCAAGACCTCAGTGGTGGCTTACTTCAGCACCTCCTATGTGTGTTACTAAACTTAGCAACTTATCTGCTTGTCTTAAAAAATCAACTGGCTTTTGCATGTACAGCCCAAAACCTCTACAAGACCAGACACTTTTACCTTTTTCTCAGCCACAAGTTCTGATATACCTCAAACAAAACAAAAACAAAAACAAAAACAAAAAACCCAGCATCTCTCACACTCCTGATGTTATAGCTTGCTCTAGTCTCAAATATTCAAACCACCCCTGGAATAATATTCCTTGGACAACTTGTTATGGAGAGTCGGAGCATAATCTTTACTGGAAAAATTGGACCATTGACAGGGGTCCTAGAGGATATCTTGAAACAAAATAGACTAATGAGACCATATCTTAGCAGGGAGAATATTTTTTGAAAAGAAGGAAGCTTGACTGGCCCTATAGTTTCTGCACATAAAGTGAAATGAAAAGGACCTTAGCTTGTTAATCTTTGGAAGCTAGGTCTTCCCT